TTGACCTCACATTTATCATATCCTCCATACATACATATTGTGAATTCAAGTGAAGTGTTTGTGTTTTTGGTGCGGTCCTGGGGTTTTCTTTAATTTCCTAGTTCTTCCACACCAATTGAAGTGATTTCTTCCCTGTGACTTTCGGAAACCGAAACGGTCTGAACGGACACTAGATCTATAGAAAGATAAGTACAACTTGTATTTTTAAATTAAAATAATTTGTACTTACTTGCATATTTTCCGTTGCAAATTTTTGTTGAAAAGCAAATTATTCTTCCCCTGACACAGCAATCAAAAAAAAACGCGTGCTTAATTTGCTCTGCCGTTTTGTTTTGGTGAATCAGCTGTTCCCCTTTTTTGGTTCTCCTTTTTATATTCCCTTTTGGTTTTGGCATTGCCAACTACCAAAAATATTAGCAAGGTTTTAGGGGCAGTGACTGAACACACTTACTGTCAGGTGTTTCCAACTGTTTTCTCATTGAGGTATGGCCTCTGAGAACAGTAGTGGGTGCACTCCAGAGAATCCATTTAGAAGGAACTCGAAAATTATGAGAACGCCTCCTATTGGGAAAAATGAGTTACCCACCGTTGCTGGATCAACAATAATGTGTGAATATGCTAACCAGGCAACAAGATGTGCCGAACCTGCTGGAGAACCACAAGATAGTGAAACTACCCAGAACTTTAACCAGTTGGGTAGTAAGATTAAAGAGCTTGAGAGAATGATGTCTGGCCAAAGGCATATAAACCAAGCAATGCGCGACTTAGTTAGCAACATAGTGATGGTACATACCAAGGCGGAAAAAGGAGAAAACCTACCCAAAAGGACTATGGTAGGAAAGGCATCCCCATGGGTAAAAATGTGAATCCGCCAAAAAGGCAGCGTGAGACTTTAGGCTTTTTACCACCAACAAAAAAGCCAAAAAATATAGGAAATATAAATAAAACATCTACTAATAACGAGGCAGCTAAAATAATTCAAGGCAATACCACGGTTAAACCCGGCATAGGCGAAACATGGGTGGACGTTGTCAAGAAAAGAAGGCCGATCGAAAAGAAAATAAGATCAAGGCCAGACGCCATCATACTCACCAAAAAGGATGGTGCATCGTACACCGACATCCTCCGGAAAATAAAAGGTGACAGCGGACTAGAGGAACTCGGCACAAGCGTCACCTACATAAGAAAAACA